CGGGAAGAAATAACTGGAGACTGTCCCAGTCTCTGAGGTATGTCCCTTTCTGTGCCACTGCCGCCAGATTAGTCTAGGCTGTCAGGACTTTATGCCTATTAGTGAAAAGAAGAGAGGGGAGGAGAGCAAGAGGGAGATGAGAGAAAAGTCTTAACCCCTGGGGTGTGCTCTTGACAGGTGGAGAATAGATTTTATCCTGTTCTTTTCTGTTGACCTAGACTGTGCTGAGGAGGGAAGTACATGTATTTTGATTTTAACTCCTTTTGAAAAATATTATCTGTAACTTTGACCCCACTAGAGAAAAATTGTGAGTTTTTGTAAGTTCTTTTCTGGAGAGCTAAGATATAATTCTCTTCAGTTTGGAAAGATACTTCAGTGGGTCCATAACAGGATGTGATAGAGTGGAACTGAAAATTGCTTTGCATAATAAAGTGAAGTACAATGGAGACATTATACTTCTATTCAAGTTATTTGGTCTGCCATTCCACTCAGTGGGTCTGTGAGGCAGATAAAAGATGCTGTCAAGACTGAAACAGTCAATTCATGTTGGTAAAACTCAGGGAATAATTGTGTGACTCATTTTTATGACTTCCCCACATTGACCATGCACTGGAAGGCATTGTTCAGGTGGCCGGCATTTTTGGTGGTGATGACTCCTGTTGGTATCCTCAATGAAGAAATTGAAAAGTTAATTGAGGGTCATGGAGCGACTTTCATTAAAGAAGACTGACACCGTAGTCTGCTTTATTTTATAGACAGTTTAAGTGATTTTCAAGAGTGTTCAAGAGTGTTGAACTTTAGAACTTAATTCTCATTTAAGGTGGGATTTTTAAGAAGAGTTTTGAGTTTTCCCTTGGCAGTGAGACAGTGGTTTGGGGACTTGAGGGATTGGTTCCATTTACTCAGGCTAGAGCTGAGCAAGAAAGATGTTTAGTAAGGACTTCCTCCGTGGGGTATGGGTAATGAACTTTAGAAACAGGGATATCTGATATTCAGTTTTAAGTTCTTTTCCTGTTTTGTGCTGTAAATACTCACCATTGATTGCTAACCTTCAGTAAACATTGGTTGTACCACCAGCCTTGAGTTATTAGTGCCTTGCAGAATGGAGAGAGGGGGCTGCCTTCATTAAATAAGATAATGCATCTAAAATACTTACTACAGGTCGCTGCACCAGAGTATAAGCGCTACCTAAGTGGTTTGGGAATACAGAAAGCTTTGGGAATACAGAAAGCTTTTGGGAATGCTTTGGGAATACAGAAAGCTGCCCAGTGTGGAGAAATACAGAGGAGGCAGTCGGAGGTGATCAGAGGGGAGCTGGGTTGGGAGTTTAGAATAAGAGCTGACAAATGACACTGAGGACATTTCAGTCCTCATCCTCACTTCCCCTCATTCTCAACTCCCCCTCCCCCAAATCCTGAGGAACATTAGGGAGCATACTTAGCTTCAAACAGTTACTTGAGTAGTTATTCCACTTGGATATTAAAAGGAAAGGGGGACCTTAGAGGCTAAAACCTTGTGATAATGTGGGACCTAGACAATTAAGTCTCAAAACCTGTTCAAGAGGACTCTGGGCAGATAGGGATGGAAGAATAGGGGGAAGGAGTAGAATATTCTTCAGAATCCACAACTTAAGAAAATATTATGCTCTTGTTTGGCTTTTAACACTATTGTGCACCTGATAACAGTTACTAGTATCAGTTAATTTTGTACCAACTAGGCTATAAAATTCTGTGTGTTCAGGATAGAGTTCTCTCAATGGCAGGGGACCACTGAACTGGCCTGAGTTATCCCCTTGTAGATAACTGTACTTTGCAATGTCTATGGTCTGTCTGAACTAAACAAAACACAAAGCTCTGTTTCTTTCTTGTTTACTCCAAAAAACCTTTGTTTTCTTGCATTTAATCTTTTCCCTAGACCAAAATACCCTGCACATTGTAGACAGATTAGTCTTTCTAGAATAATGCTCTATTGCCCAGATTCTGAAGTGGCTTCATAGCATTTATTAGATTGAGTCCACGCTCAACCTGGAGGCCAGCTCTTCCACAGCATGGCCTCACTGTCACTCTTACCTGTTGATGTGCATGAACCCTTCATCCAGGTCAGGCTCACCTGCTAATCCAACCACTTTACACCTGCCTCTTCCCAACCCTAAACTCCCTTCCTCTTGCCACTGAGCTAAATTTACCCCCACCTCCAGATCTCACTGAAAAACCATCTTTCTTGTGAAAATCTCCCAAGTATTCTAGTCCATATTGATTTTTTTTCTGTCTATGTTGACATTGGTCTCTTGGATTCATCAATCAGTTGAACAGTTATTTGTTGAGTGCTGACAGTATGGCCAAGAACGTAATGCAAATACTGTTATTGATTATGTGCTGTTACATTTCTAACTTACTTATATGTGTATGTACTTACTGCCAAAAACAAACCACCTTAGGAACTGTTTGTTTTCTCACAGAAATAGACCCAAAATATCAATGCAATAAATATATCTTGAATTGACTAAAGTATATTCATGATAAACTTAACTAGGATACAGGTCACTTGTTAACTTGTCAGCTTATGATCACTAACTATATTAAGAAGTGATGAATCTTCTTAATAATAAATATTTTTTATTATGCTTGACCTCATTAAATCTTGCATAGTGACAGATATTGTTTTAAAATTTTTATTAACAGCTCTTTTTCCTAGCTCAAAAGGGTATTACAGACGGTAATCAGCAGAACAAGTAAAAACAAAACCTCACCTCTATAGAGTTAGCCAGTGTGTAGACTTTATTACATAGGCACATTTTTTTTAAGTAAGCTGTTTTTAACATAAAATAAATCACATAGTACAAGAAGTTACATTGAATGAGGATAGATGATGAAGGAAGGAAAAGCCAAGCCTTGGATCAGCTGAATCATTCACTGGATCTTGGGTCCCTCCATCCTGACACATTGAAATGCTCTATGAGCGTTACAAAAATGGAGAGTGAGGAGGGGGTGCTTTTTTAGCGCTCCCTGGCTTAAAACACTGATTGATTTTGTTTCATTTCTTGAATATGGTAAACTTTCTCCAGGTTCTGTTGGCAGGTTGACTGACACAAAGGTTAAATGCATGCTGACTTAGGGTCAGAGGAGTTCATATTCTTCCCTCTGTCACCCCAGTACTTCAAAACCCTTAGATGCTTTGGTCCAACAGGTTGCTGTCAGGATCTGATTGCACATCTGCTTTCCCAGAACCGCTCCCATTGGAAACCACGTGTGGGTGCTGACCCTGAAGCACACAGAGGCCAGACAGCGGTGCTTAAGGCTTCAGTCACAGTGCGGTGAGATGGTGTCCACAGCCAGCACTGAGGGTTTGATCTGAGGCAGAAGGTGGGACTGAACAGGAAGAGGATGCTAAAATTCCTTTACTTTGTCCGGCTGAAATTGAGCCATTATATTTGAGCAACTCTTAGTATAGGAATCTAAAATCAAACTAACACATACCACGAAAGAGATGCTATTTTGTAGCTTGTACACATTTTTTAAAAATAATTACATTTTCATGTTACTAAGAGACTGTGAGGATAGGGGGGACCGACCCTTTCATCTCCTTTTGCCATAACTGTGTTACAGATAGTCCCAGAATGTTTACTAAGTTTGTTTTCCCCCTCGATATCTGCAGTCTTTTGTATAAAAGGATATATCTGTAGATTGTTAATCATCCTGACAGCCCCTTGGAGGGTTAGACCGACTTCTACTTCAGGTAGTACCCAAATCCTATCAGTTCCTCTTCACCTTCACACCACTGTTGTGCTGGGTGATGCCAGAGGAACTTCCAGAGCAGTGTTCCAACTGATCTTCACCGTCCTTTTGATCCTCCATGTTTATCTGTGTTTTGAAGGCAACTACAAAATAGAGGACTGCAGGGTTGTCTGGGCAGATGGTAAAGGATAGAGACATTAAAAGAGAAAAGATGGGCCAGCTGCTTTTCCCAGTATTCGAATTTTAAACTTCTTGGTTCTTAAGATTATATGAAGAGTCCTATTGATATGAAGTATCACTGACAGTGGCACCAAAGACAGTTTGTAAAATAATCCGTAACACTGGAGCTGGAAAGGATCTGAGGGAACAATCAGTCCAGCGTCCTCACTTTTTTAGCTGAGGTTTCTGAAGCCCAACTGGGAAAATTGCAAGTGACTTAACATGATGATTGTCTTCATGACTGTGTCCTTTAAAGATTCAGAGAAACCCCAATTCTCCCTTGATAAAGGGCACGCCCACCAATGTCTTTACATCAACAGTCCTCCGTGTCCTTGTGTTTGGCCTTAGCTCCCTTTAGGGAAGCTGGTTACTGGGACAGCACCTTGACCAAATACTTATTGAACTGAATTAATTCTGTTGTTTATCCCTGCTAGGCAATCTTTTATTATTCCTGGAGCTCCTTACATTTAAGGCCTCTAGTTCAAGTATTTTTATTTATTTTTTTATTTTTTTGCGGTACGCAGGCCTCTCACTGTCGTGGCCCCTCCCGTTGCGGAGCACAGGCTCCGGACGCGCAGGCTCAGCAGCCATGGCTCACAGGCCCAGCTGCTCCGCGGCAAGTGGGATCTTCCCGGACCGGGGCAAGAACCCGTGTCCCCTGCATCAGCAGGTGGACTCTCAACCACTGCGCCACCAGGGAAGCCCCTAGTTCAAGTATTCTGAGGTTTGGTGGCCAGTGCTGTATTTGTCATTTCTCTATATTTTTTCATATTGCCATTCTGTTTTTTGATTCTGTTCTTTTATAGCTTTTCTTTACATGCAGTTATTATTTGCCTCTCTCCAGGCGCTACCAAACACATTGCTATGGATAGTTTCTGCCTTTACAGGCCTGGAATTGCAAATTCAGAGATACTTTTTTTTTCCCCCCAATTGTTAAAAGGACTAGACTCTAAATCAGGTTTGCTAAGGCACAGTATAAGAAATGTAAAAATTCCATATTCCTACTTTAGTTAATACATGGGAAAATACTACTGACACACACATTTATTTTCTACATTTATGTCTCTTTCACTTTTAATTCTTTAAATACATAAATATGAGTCACAATATCCAAAGCAAGTTTCATTTAAAAAGAACATAATTAAATGGTAGAGAGATGGTGACTTGTAGGGAATTGGCACTTAGACATTGGTAATGACCGTATGTTTAGAAGTTGGTGAAAATGCTATGACTAATTTTATATAAGAGCTGTCATGTTTTGAATGACACTTGTTAGTGAAATGTTAAGAGATAATTCCTTTACTAAACAATATTTTTTGTGGATTTAGCTTTTTGGTCAGTTTTGTTTGAATTTCCTGTTGCATTCTTAACATCACCTAAACTCTAGATATGCTAGAATTAACTTATAATCATCATTCGTAGAAGAGTTAAAGTTACCATTCCCACCTGGGAAAAATTTTAAAAGTAGGCTAAATGGCAGTGCTTCCTAGTCAAATCAACTTAATATTTTAAAGATTTTTAAGAAAAATTTCAGATCATTCTCTCTTTTCCCACCACGAAACTTATTATGAGATTTAAAGCAGCTCTGAAATCATGATGTCACTTCACACGTTTCAGCCTTACTACCCCAGGCCTCCATCTTTCTTACTATGGTGACAAAATAAATGCGCAGTAACATTGGTCAGTGGTTAATGTTGGGGAAAACAAAGACCTAGCACACCAAGACTGTCCATGTACTCTATTAAATGCTTTCTTCTCCCTCTCACCATTCGAATGGTCAAGGCTTAGGCTCACAGAGCTGTCTGACTTGCAAGAACAAAACTGAATCAATAATCTGGACGGTGACAGCATCTGTGCTACTGTTATCTTTGGGCACAAAAATGTTTTTCAATATGAATAAGATATACTGTAGTTTAAGTTCAGATGCACATTAAGTGCTTAAGTGCTGACAGTTATCACTAGTTGACAGTGGAGGCAAGGAAAGAAAAATTATTTAAGTTCTCCAGGAAATAGAAGCATGCTTGTGTGCTTTAATGTGTTTGATGATAAGTAAGGGTTAGGTAGCCTTAGAGTCTAAGCATCAGTATTCATTCAGCAAACATTTATTGAATACCTAAGTAATTTTCCTTTATTTCATTAATATCTGTTTGTCCTATCAGCACAGGATTTAAGGTAGCTGAAACTTATTATATTCCAAACTAGCTTGGTGGTAGGTACTAGAAACAAAGAATAAGAGCCATTTCTTGCCTCCATGGATCACATTTCTTGGGAATATGAATTTCTAGGGAAATAAGCTCCTGCCCTCATCTACAGGATTTGAAAGGAAATTACTCTAATTTCAAATAAGAAATATTTTACATTAAAAGAATGTTCTTGGGAATTCCCTGGCAGTCCAGTGGTTAGAACTCGGCGCTTTCAATGCAGTCGCCTGAGTTCAATCCCTCATCAGAGAACTAAGATCCCGCAAGCCGTGCAGCACAGCCAAAAAGAAAAGAAATGTTCTCATGGGTTATGAGCCCTGCCAATAATGCAGGAGGGTTGCATGGGGTGGGGGGTGGTGGGGAGAAGAAAATAGAAGAGAAAAAAAAACTGCACGGATTATATTTCATATGAGTAAAACGCACAATTTTGATAAGGCATAACTAGTATATTTACAAGAGTGGCAAAGGGAGTTTAATGGTACACCCACAAAGTACCTCATAGTCTCGTTTGATATATCATGAGTACATTTCTCATCCTCCTTTACTATAAAGTCAAAAAAGGAAGTCACCAGTCTCAAAAAAAAAAGCACAGCTCTTAATATCATGGGACATCTAATTTATATTCTAATAGTAATAGTAAGACTATGTATTGGTAAAATGAACTCACTTCTAATATTTTCACATTACTGATAACATAGACAAGGATTATTTGTGGCCACACACACAAAATCCAAGTCCAGGGTGGCAAACTTAGAATCTGCATATCAAAAAGGTATTTGCCCAACAGTGTTTTCTATGTAGGCTATTAACAAAACTACATAGAAACTACATCTAAAAATATATAGTATTATATTTCCCACCCCCCCTAAATGCTACCCATAATCAACTTCCAAAAAACAGTAGAGGGAAAACAAATCTGATGAAATCAAGGTGGTAGGTTTTTAAAAATGAATGATAATATGATTGCTGAATGTAGATAGCATGGAAGGGATTTCCCCATCCCTTGGTTTAAAAAAAAAAATGTCCAGGTGAAAGTACAAAGGCAATGAGAAATAACCAACAGGAAAAAAGGGTCCAACCACCGATACACATGTGATGCTAGCAGGTGAAGCAGAGATCTTGAGAGGGTGCACAGGTGCTAACCTTGGGTAAAGAAGGTGCTAGAATGACCTTCACCTTGCCAACTCTTCAACCCATTTCAATGTTTCTATAAGGAATCTCATGTGCTTTTAGCACAACAGGGGAAGGGCTAGGCCTTGGAGTCCTCAGTTGACAAAGACCTCTAGGGGACTCCACTGTATTTCAAAGAGCATGAAAAACCACTTATCAAACTAAAAACGGAGTCCTAATACTGTTGAAATGAAACCTATATGTAGAAGGGATCTTGTTAAGAATCTAGCCCAAATCCAATCTAAGAGTCCCTTTCACAGCATTTAGGATGGGTTATTTTAGCCTTTGGGCATTTGCAGCAACTGGAAGTTTTACTGTTTGAGTCCATTCCTCTTTAGAACAACTCATTACAAAGTTCTTTCTTATATTGAAGCAAACATCTGTCATCTATAAAGCTCCTCTTTTTGCCCTTTGAAGCAACACAGGAAAAGTCCAATTCCTCTCCCCTTTTATAGCTCAACAGAGATTTCAAGGCAGCTATTGTATCATTCCCTCTTTTTCCCTTTCCAGCTATACCTTCTGTTCTTCAGAGGAAGTATTCCCCTATTCCATGTATAATCACACTCTCCACAACCCTGGCCACCTGACTGGACACAATCAATTTATTAACATCTCTCTTAAAATGTGGTTCCCAGAACTGAATGCAGCCCTTCATCCAGATGTGGGCTGACCAGTGCAGCATGCAGGACTCCCTAGACTTCTGTTACCACAGGCTGAATGCATTAGTTTTGTGAATAGCTATGATATACTCCCGATTCAAAACTGAGCTCATTTCCCCAAGAAAACATTTTATACAAAAACTGCTGTGAAACCAGGACTTTCCAACACCCTTCCCATTAACACACACAGGTAAACACACACATCCGTACACACATAGGTACCCCATTTTGTACTTAGTGGGCTGCATTTAAGAAACTCAGAATATAGAGTTTCTCACTAATGCCTATTTAATTTCATCCTTTTAGTTTCAGTCTTATGTTCAGGTATTTCAAAAAATTACAATGATTTCTATATCCTAATGTCAATACATAGAATTCAGTGAATATTCATGGAATGAACTAATCCCGAATCTGCCAGTCAACAGACTAGTTATATGTCTATTTCTACGTCATCTACAAATCGGATAACCCTTACTCTATTCTTCATGGGAGAAACAGGAAGGCAGGTTAAAGCTGCTTTAAATTGTTGAGCTCGTATCCTCTTTGGGATGCAGAGGTACAGAATGTGAGCTGGAACAGATGAAGAGAAAGAATATTGAGTGTCCTAGATTCTTGGAATCAGGATTTAGTGTTCCCAACATTAGAAAAATATGGCTTTCCCTCATCTCTACCCTAGAGTCTTCTGCCTTTTAGATCTATTACAATACTGTGATTATCAAACTCTGAATTTTTAGGAAAAGCTCATACAAGCTCAGTTTTGAACGGCTTTTAAAATGATCTTTTCAACTTATATTTCCTGTAAAGTTTGAGTTAAAGAGACACGCAGCTGTCTATTGGCTATGAGGTATAAAAAGAGTTCCCAAATGCCCCTGACAAATGCCTGAGATACATGTATCCATCTGTTTCAGGAATCAAACATGGCCTATACTTTTCAGTGTGAATTTGGAAATTCACTGAGATTTAAGCTGTCTCCTGAATTGAAGATAATCTTACAATGAATGTTCTTTTTCCCCAGAATGAAGAAAAGTAAGCTCAATTTTGCTTTCCCTTCAATAGCCACTCTTCGCAGAATGTGGGGCTACTCACAGAATTTAGAAGTGTCCTCTTGTGCCTTTTTTCCATTGTCTACTGTGACTCAGGGTGATGAACCCTGGGACTGATGCCTTAGAAAGATGGAAAAAGTGTTTCAGTCAACACTATCTAGAACCAGGAGGGAAGCATCTCAAAAACTTCTGTTGCACAGTGTTAACATTTGAAGAATGGAGACACCTATGAAAGGTCTAGCAGACCCAAAGAGGAAATCGGTTTTGTACCTTTTCTCAACTTTTTCTAAGGGGAGTGACAGGGATGGAGTCTTAGTTAATTAACTTCTCAAGATTCTTTTCCAGAAACTGATGTAAGTAACAGATGAACATCGGAAGGAAATCACGCCAACAATGATGTTGGGAGTTTCTTTTCCTGACTTTATCAGTCACAAACCATACCCACGTGCTGTGAGATAAGCAGAGTGGAGAGGAGGCTTAATTATACAGTAAGCTCCAAAAAGTCAGGTGATGCAGGTGCTTCAGGCATGATCAGAGCCTCTCCAAAGCAAGCACCTTAGGGCTTCCTATTAGAATACAGGTAACTACAAACAGGGAGGTCCAATACACTGCTCCCAACGTGGAGTAGCCATGGTAGGCAGTGCCTTGAACTTCAGCTATTCAGGAAGACATCCTGTCGTGATGCTTAGGTCAGGGCCCCCTGCAGTAGGGCTTCGTCACTGGACCCCACACTCCTTGGGATTTTCCATTTCATCTCCTTCAAAGTCTGGCTTCAAACTCTTTTTTTGCTCAATTTCCACCTGTCAAGAATAAAAGTTGGAGAGAAATATCAGAAGAAATATCAGGAAAACATCCCAACAAATAAATAAACCAAAAGAGAAAAGCTCCCTAGGTTCTTTGAGAGTCCTTGTAATTTGGTTAATGTTCTGGGCTTTAGTCACACCAAGCTACTGGCCATGTGTATATTATGGCTCTGTCTTTGCACATGCCCTTTGCTTGGTCTGGAATTCCTCTCCCTCTCAGTCCACCTGGAAAATTCTTATTCTTTGCCTTACACAGATACTCAAAGGTCACCTCTTCTGTGAAGCTATTCTTGACTCACCAGGTAGAGTCAGGTGCTCCTGTGTGTATATTCCCACTACACCCTGGACCCGCTACACCACAGACTTCGTAGGACAGGGCAGGCCCTTGTTCACTATTGTACGCCTATAATATGGGCCTACAGCAGGCAATCACAAAGGTTTATCAAATGAATGAATTCCTTTGCAGCTGGCTCTTTACACTCTCCGTTATTTTATCCCTTTAAAAAGTCTCCAAATGGATAGGTATTGTAGTGTTTACGGTTCTGCCTATATCTTTTGGAAAATACTGTAGCTGTAACTGTAAAGAGATTAATAAATTAATCTTGCCTTGAGAGTGATATACCTCATCTGAAGCCTTTGATAAATCAGGCAGGGAATCCTTTGAGCTGAAGGAGTTTCATAATTAAAGCCGCTCTTCTCAATACCACTTGGATATTTATGATGAGGGAAACAATTCAAGACAGAACAGTTGACTAAGGTCATGTTTGAGGAAAGTGCTGGGTTCTTTCCTGGCCACAAGATGGAGTATTTCTTCTTTTTGGTAGTTTAATGTTTTAAATCACACAAGTAAGGAAATATTTAAAGAACAATTAAATGATCATATAAATCTAAGGATGCTATTACGAATAGAAAATTATTAAACCACTTTGCCAAATCCTTCTTCAGTAACCCCCTGTTTTCCGTCTTTGGCATATAATCTCCTATTGAATTTCTAACTACTCAGGATACAATACTATTTGTGTCGGAAATCTCCAACTTCATTTCCTCCTTCACAGCCCTGATCCTGTTACTATTATAGAAGCTTGCCTGGCTTTTGAGTTTGTCCAGTTATAGCCCAGTGACCAGGTTGTATGACTTGGTATATGTCATACTTCACTATGACATACTGTCATACATAGTGTCATACTTCACTATGTAAACTTCATTCAGATCCACTTCATCAACACCTGGAGCTGAAATATATGCTTTGGGTTAGCATTTTCCTGACCGTCTCTCCACTTCCAAACTCACTCCCCTGCACATAAATTATATGACAAATGAGTAATAATAATCCCATTACCCCATTACTCTGTTGTTGTTCATGACGACTGAAAGACATTATATACTCCTCCTTCATCAGCCTGTACTTCTCTTTCCAACCTTTCTCTTGCCTGCTAGAGAGATTATTCATTTAACTCAGAGCAGACTCAACCACAGCTATGCATGGTAAACCGCCTGCAAGGTGGTAGGAGAATACCCTGCACCCTGGGCAGGCACTGCTAAAAGGAATGAGAAGGGGGAGGGCATGGGGGTGCACAGACAGACTTGGAAACATGAGCCAGATGCCTCCCGAGGCTACCTTGTAGCTGTAGTGTGCAGAATAATTGACCCACTTCCTGACGTCGGTCTTGTCTTCCACAGAGATGGATCTTACGGCAGCTTTGGAGGCAGAAGTTGTAGGCATGCTGAACTCGACGTTAATGTGATTGGCAAATCTGGAAGGCACTTCCCGGTCAGAGCCAAGTTCAAGATGGCAGAAGAAACAGTGTGGGTGACCAGCAGCTATGAAAGAAGGACAAAGAATCTAGGGTTCAGGTTCTTTGGGGAGGAAGTGGAAGAGCCTCAATAACAAACAAAAGGAGGCCTGGCAGTCTTTAAGAGCATCCAACTATGAGCAGAGAATCTGCCTCGGCAGAAATCACACTGCATGTGCTTCAGACCCTTTGACATAACATCTGACTACAGTAGCCTGGTATCCTAGCAATAAAACCCATGACCTGAGAAATGGAGTGCTTTCTGCCTGCTCAGGTCAGAGTGCTATGTGAACACAGTGTAAATACTATGAAATAGAGGTTGTATATTGGCAGAAAGGAATAAAAGAGATCAGCACTTAGCACCTAATAAAACATCAAAGACGGCCACCTGGAGCAAAATCATCAATTTCCTTCAGAAGATGAATTTTCTTAATAGCATTTGATTTTTTTTTTTTTTTTTTTTTTTTGCGGTATGCAGTCCTCCCACTGTTGTGGCCTCTCCCGCTGTGGAGCACAGGCTCCGGACGCGCAGGCCCAGCAGCCGTGGCTCACGGGCCCAGCCGCTCCGCGGCATGTGGGATCTTCCCAGACCAGGGCACGAACCCATGTCCCCAGCATCGGCAGGCGGACTCTCAACCACTGCGCCACCAGGGAGGCCCAGCATTTGATATTTTTTTTTAAATGCTTTTGGCATGTTTTTTTGGTGAACAGCATATAAAAATGACAAAGCCCTTAGAAACAGCACATATGCTTTAGGGAAGCACGTGGAACGCTGGAGAGAATACAGACTAATAGTCAGGATACCTGGGTTTGACCTGCAGTTCTCCTAAGTGCAGAGATCCCACACCCAAGTCCTTTTTGTTCTCTCCAGGCCTCAATTCCTCATGTGTGAAGTGGCGAGTTGGGCGGGGGTGGAAAAGGGTAGGCTGGATAATGCCAGGCATCGTCCCTTACCGCTATTTAACTCTATAAATCTATGGCTAGTTCTACTGTATTTGGAAGGCAAACTTACGGTCTGATTTTCATTTGAGGATTGTTATTAGATTATTTGAGGGAAAAGAGTCAGAACTTAGTTCTATAATGATCACCACCGCAGCATCGTCCTCGCTCATCAGATGTAACAGGAAACGTTTGTTGATAACTCTAAGCCAAGTACTGTGCTTTATGCAGATTCTCTCACTTCTCTCTCTTCATAACAGTCCCCTGAGGTCATAATTATTACGCTGCACAAATGAGGAAACTAAGGCTTCAGGAGGTAAGGTCAACTGCCTAAGGTCATAGCTAGAAAGTGGCAGAGCCAAGAACTGGACCCAGCAGTCTGACTCCCAGATGTTCTTAACCCGTTTGTCTGAGTCATAACCTCACAGTCCTCAAACCTCAAGACAGGTTTGCAGGGTGACAGGGGTGGAGAAAAAGGAAGCTGTAAGAAACCCATAAAGCAACTCACTGTGGATAAACCATGTGACTCTGGCTTCATTATGTAACTGAAACAGCCCTTAGTTATCAGAGTTTCCCCAAATAAACAGTTCCAATTTCCTTTATTGGTCTGGGCAGGACTTTTTAATCTCGGAGCCTGAGGACATACACACCCGCTCTCCAAGGAAAACATAACAGAGTGAAGTATTTGTTTTGCTCTGTTTCACAAATGTAACATATTTCAATGGGTCTTTCTAAAGAGTAATACTTTGGAAAATTAATTGAAAAAACTGCAGTTTTTTAGGAAAGGAATTTAAGATATATGTAGTAGTAAAAATTACATTATTTGAAAATGAATCCAATTTTTTAAAATTGTGTACCACAGATGTAATTATATAGCTGTCACTTACTGAACACTTATTACAGGCCAGAGACTGTGCTAAACACTTAAAAACATTACTAATTCCTTTCTTAATGAGCTAGGTGTTAATAACCCTATTTTATAAAAGAGGAAACTTGAGATTTCTCTGAAAGGTTTAAGTAAATTGCCTGAGGTCACACAGCCATTAACTTGTAGTACTGGGAATAAAACTCATTATCTAACTGACTCCAAATTATGTCCTACACTCCTCTCAATAGATTGCTATAGATTTAGATCATTACAAAGTATTTAGAGGAGTTTCTTAATTTAATTCAATAGCAACCTGAACAACAGTTTTATCTAATTACCCTTATTTACACATGGTTGGAACACTGAAAATCATAACTTTCCACAAAACTGACCCCCCTCTTCTCACCCCACCAAAGCATATTCACAGAAAATTCTATGAAAGCAACATTCTCTCTTGAGTTCTAGCATCAGCTAATGCATGTGTAGGGCTAGTGGACAGATAGGGAAGTACAATTTTGAAAGCTAATACAATTTAATTCATGTTAATGAACTAATGAGCTCACATTATGTCATCTTCCTTGATGAAGCTGAGAAAATTTAATATTAAAATTCAGATTTCTATTTTCCATAGAAGGGGAATCATATTAGAATTGTTTTCCCTTCACCTGATCTAATGAGAACTGGAATTCCAGCAAAGAAAGCTACCTATGCAGAACAGAATGTTTTGTTTCCTGGCAGACAATCTGGGAAAGCACAGAAACTTGTTCTGGTGCCTTCTAGGATTAAAGGAAAGCTCTTGGGATTAGGACGGGAGGGGTCCTGGGAGAGCACAGATAGAGGGACCCTGCTGGTGGGAGCCATGTTGGAATCCAATGGCAGCTTGTTAGCCTTTTGATGGCTTGACTGGGATAAGCCTGCTGTGGCTGCAGACTTGAAGTGCCGACAAAGCCCAGGATGCCAGACTGCTGGCCCATGCTGCCCTGCAGTCTGACCATCCTACCTGTTGGGGCTAGGGTTGCAGGGCCACTGCAGGTGGGAGCAGATGTGCAGAGGTTCAGTCCTCTTTCACTGTAAGTAGAGGTGTGAGGATTATGAAAAATGGCCTATGAAAGGCACCTTCCCAAAGCTATCTCAAGACTAAGAAGAGCTCAGAAAAGGGACAGTTACTAACAGATCATCGTCAATTCTCTGACTTCATGGATGGAGCAGTGGATGGGGAGGGCAGGGGTGGGCACAGAGAATACCAGCAATGGTAAGAACTTGCATTCTGACTGGAATTCAGATCCTGTACATCTCAAGTTTCCAGAAAAAGGGTGCTATTAATTTCCTGAACTGACACAGAAATATACCATTGGCCAGAAGTAGAAATAAGAAGCTCTTGGGGGGATTTCATGTCTAAAAATACACAACCATGACAGCAAAAGTAGTGATTGAGTGGGGGGTAGGTTTACGTGAGAAATATCCCCAAATATCCTTATGCTGTCCTTATGTATTTTAAAAATCATTCACAAATAAGGTTCCAGTAATCTAGAAATACATATGTAGTATAAAGGCTGCATTTACTTGGCCTTGAGCCTACTTAACACTACCCCGCTGGGAAGCATTAAGGAAAGTGGTTGCTGAGGACTATTTATTCCATGCCCTGCATCTGCTCCCTTTTTATTCTGGTAACAATTTTTTTTTTTTTTTTTTCTTTTTTCTTCCTCTTCGAGAAATACTCTTCCCCAGCACTGCATGTCATCTTGGTGGTCATGTCCTCCCTTTTACTCTTGGGAAGTGGCACAAGGACAGAAAATGGCCTGTGATGGTTTGTCCCAAAGGCTGCAGCCTGAGGAGACATCCACAGTTCCTGCTATCAAGAGCTATCCTTTCTGAAGCCTGTTTCTTCCTTCAGTTCTGTGAGCTACCTGTATCTTTCCAACAATTTATTTCTTTTTGCTAAAAGAAGCCAGTCAGTCTCTGCTGCTTATAAAGCCCCTCACATGGTACTTTTAAATATTTGAGAGAAAGAACTTTGAAACAAATGGGGTATGTGTGTACACACTGAGAAAACTGAAAATCTCTGTCCTCATAGTGGAAGTAACTTTGAGTTTGTGTCTGTTTTGTGTCATCTACTAAGAGGCAGCTGTGGTATGGAGAAAAAAGACCCCTGGATGTGATGAGTCACGTCACTCCCGGTCCTTAATTTTCTCATCTGTGGAATGGAGAGGTTTGACTAAGTTATCCCCAAGGTCCTTTCGAGCTCGAAAATCCAATTATTCCATAATGAAGTGATCTGAATACATGCTTAGTAAATTGCAGAGCTAAAAATTCCAGTAAGCATAAACCTGAGGTCTTTTCTCATGTCAAGCCTCTTGCGGGTTAAACAGTAATTTTCCCCGTTACCTCAGTTCTCTTCTCAAGGGCATCCGTGCCAAAGGAGAATTGAGGGTTTCTCCTTTCTGCCATCAATTCACATCGGCCTCATGGCTGAGGCAGAAATCACAGTGCTATCACCAGGAGAATACAGTGCTGATTTTAGGGAAATGAATAAGCAAGCTCAGAGAGGAAGACTTTATGTTAAGAATTCTGTCAGTTTAGAAATAGGGGGTGGCAAATCCAGCCTCAAACACAGAGGTCCAATTGTCTTTTCGGTTTGCACTGCTACACCCAGTGTCTGATAAGAAAGCCCTGGTGTGTGTCCACTGCCTGGCCTGCCTAGGGAGTTGGCCAGATCGTATTGCTTCTTGGCTTCACGTTGTTTTACATTTAGGGTAACACAGCCACTCCACACTCAGAACAGGAAATGAAGACTCCAATCATACTGTTAGGATTTAATAGTGAGAATGGAAAAAAGAATATCTGCATAAGAGAAAGACTTTAACCAACAGTTTTTCCAAACCTCTCTCTTTCTTTCTTTTTCTTTTCTTTTTTTTTTTTTTTCTGGCCCAAATACCCACTTTTTTAACAGATGAGCGAAGTTTATTATAAACAAGAAAAGTGATTTAAAGGGTCACAGGATCATGGGCTTATTGCCTACCACTGGGGTCACCCAGACTTACTCTAAGAAACAAAGCTATTAGAGCTGGTTTGATTACTCCTTAGTTTTGTCATTTCACCAAATCTCACTGGACCCATGAGGAAAGTCATTGCCTTCAGGCTCACTCAAGCACAGAAGCACCCCTGCTAGCTGGGAGCAGGCCAGCTAGGGCTGGTAAACTGTCTCCTTTGTTTAAATTAAACATCCCTTCCCTTACTTTCTGTCCTTTTGGATTTCAGTCCTTTTGGACCTTCATGTCCTGGCTGGATCTTCAGTCTGATCAGAAGCCCCTTCCCCATCTCCAGATCCTGGCTCTGAACTTGGGATGTTATGATTGACAGGCCTTGCACAGGGTGACTGGAATCATAGATCTAACTCTTGGCCTGTACTGTACACATGATTGGCCATAAACTGGCTCTTTTACCTATACTTGGGGCAACAGACATCTCTTCAAAGCCCAGAAGCCTTCTAGGATCTGGAAAAGGATAGCTTCCAACACCAAATAAAACTTTAATGAGTCAGAAAAGAATACAGAATCATAAGCTGCCTTGGAAATCTGCTTAGCAGCCCAGCTGAGAAGAATAATGCATAGTTTTATGGAAGAACTGTGATAGTAAGAGAGTAGAAAGATGGAGTGAACTGGGTCATGCATGTTTGTTAAGTACTTTGCTCAAATATTTTTGTTTTTCTGGTCCCCCATTCCCCCATCCCTCCCCATCATCATTCCTATCACATAACAAAAACCAGCACTTCATAGGGAAAGAGAATGTGGAACTTTGATCCCAGCTCTTTCACAACCATGTGGCAGTTTTCACAGAAGAGAAAGCTCTGCCTACCTGAGTTTTTGTCAGGCAGTCGGTTTATCCTCCACACAATGGAGTTGAAGGCATGCTCATACTTCGCAGTTCCCAGAGTTACTCTCATGACAGGCTCAGAGCCAGACAAGCTAGTTGAGCCAAAACTTGCCCCCCGGTTCACTTTGGCTTTCAGAGACTTTTCCCCCAGGACACTTTCCCTGCGGAAGTTTTTCACCCACTCACTGGGCACAGGGTAGCGAACCATCACATTCTCACAGGGAACCTGAGTGAGAGGATCACAGTTAGAGGAGAAGCCAGATGACATCCTCAGCCAGCTCTGCACCTCCACCTCTGCCCCACTGATGCTTGCCACAGTCCTGAGTGTGAATGGCAAGGTCTTCTCGGCAAATACTGTCCTGAACCTCATTAGCTCAAGTCGGCAGGCATCCAAAGGGTTGAACAGAATAACCCGTGAGCTGTTGAATACATCCTCATCCACACACCTGTGAAAATGGCACTCATGGAGCTTGATCCACTTTGTGGTGGTGGTGGGCATGATGTCTTGCCGGGAAACGATTTCGTTCCCTTTGACGAGGACATCATTGAGACCCAAGCGGCACTCGGCAAGGCCAGAGAGGAAACTCAGGATGTGGACCCGTGTCAAGACACAGTGCTGGAGAATCTGGTTGTCTCCTTTGCTCACAAGGCCAGAGAATTCATCTCGGACATCCACTGCAATCTCCTCTTCAAGGTAGTTCAAGCCAACTGTGCACAAGTCCATTGACAACACCGGCAGGTCCATGAGACGGTCCTGAACTGCACGGATGAAGCTCAGGAAGTCATCGTAATTGGTGGTGCCCAGCTTAATCACTTGTTCCCTCTCGGCCACGTGGGCCACGGCAGGTTTAGGCTGGTATTTCTTCTTCTCCTTGTAGGTGACGCGGTCTATCCGCAAGCTGTGGATCCTGCCGTTCTCATCATAGTTTTGGAGCCGGGGCTCTGAAATCTCATGGCAGATCTCCAGCTTGAACTCACGGAATGGCTTTTCTAAGCCCTTCTCATAATACAGCTGCAGATACCCACTGTCTGTCAGTTTGATGTAGATGGGTCCCCAGTGCCTAGAGGACATGATGTTTTTCTTCTCAGGGATCCTAAGCATCATAGGCCAACCATCCTTGGGCTGGGACAGTGCGCAACCTGGTGGGTGGTCATCTAGTTCAATCCAGGCTATTGGGTCATCATCAGGGAGTGTTGTACTCCCTAAGTGATCGGGATCCTCAAGTTGGAGTCGTTTGAGTTTTTCAACAGCATCACAGTGTGACTGGTTTTTGCTTGAATCATCAAAACTGATGGCATCCTTGTAGATGACAATGAGAGAATCTCTTTGGCTTTTGCCTGTGGTACCAGACATGGAATTGTCTTGGGAGCGCCTCTCCTGCTCCTCAAAGAAAGCGCGGAAAGGGTTTATAGGGGAGGGTTGTACATCCTGTAGAGTCTCATTCAGAAAAGGATTGGTTGCCCTCCAAAGAGGAGCCTCAGGCACGGAAGGCGGACGGTTTAAGGAGGAAATGTCCAGCTTCTGAACTTTGGAGAAGTTCATCAAAGTGCTCTTGGGACGTTCCCTCTTCTTAAATGACCCAGTTGAGTTACAAGGTACATCTGGGATCACAGATGCAAGAGGTGGTGTTTTCGGCTTCAGAGGAGAGGTGATTGGTGGCAAAGGGCTGCTGACTTCATTGTCATCAAAAGTGACCCAGCTAGGGAAACGAGCAGAGGTCACTAGAGTGGCGGGGTGTCCGTTCATAGCTGGACTGCTGGCCTGCCAGTTGATGGCCTCCATCTCTACCTCTTCATCTTCCTGAAGAGAGGAAGAATTGTCTAAAAGGAAAAGGAGAACATATGAAGGGCTGCTATTCAGGGCCTCTAGAGGTATAGGAATGAGGGATGACTAGAATTTTATATGGAATCCAGTAAATTCCAAAGCATTTCATTACTTGTCCTCAAGTGTTTCGTCTGGGCACAGCTCTCACAGTTTTGTAATAAGCAGTAAGAATACAAATGTCAATACAGAAGCACTGATAGGACCCAGGTCCCTTGCAATTTAACTCTTATACATTCTCCCTTTATTTTATCGATGTTTCTGGAATGGATTTTTTTTCTTGACTCTAAAGTATGTATTCTTATATTTTTAAACATTGAAAACTACCTCCTACATAAAATGATATAAAGCTGATCTCATTGAACAAAATAAGCCATATGCTCTAAGTGATAATATGATTGCAAATAATGTAATCAGAGAGATTTTTACCCAAATGTGGTAAATAAATATTAAAGACAAAATGTTAACATCCTTAATATGAAATCAATTTACACAAGTGAATAACAAAAATACAAAAACTTGAAATACAGGCAAAGGACATATACAGACAACCCAGGAAAGAGAAAGGAAAAATGTCTAATAACCATGTAGAAAATGTTCCGTCTCACTAGTAATAAGGAAAACGTAAATTAAACCCCAAAAATCAGTGAAGATTTTTAAAGTTTTAGTATTCGATGAGGGTAAAGGTGCTATAATATGAACAGTAAATAGACCCTTAATGGGACCGTAAGTTGCTACAAACTCTCTGAAAATGGTTTGGCAATTTGTATTAAGGGTCTTACAAATATTCATGAACAATGACTTAGTAATCTCACCCTAAGGAAATAAATCCAAATTAGGAACCAAGTTTTGGGTGAACGTTAAGAAACTGAGGCATACAATGGAAAAACAAGCAGCCATTAAAATGTTTACAAGTTCGTATAACATGAGAAAATGCTCCTGACATTAATCTCTTCTTTTTTCTCTAAAATACTTTTCCATCTTGGGGTTTAATTTATGGGGAAAAAAAAAGATTATTACAAATAAAACTCCACCCTAGCAGGGCCTTCGAGGAAGGAGATACAGGAGTTGAGTTTCGATGCAGGAAGACCCAGACCTTTTCAGTAAAGATGCTGTGTGTCTGCTGGGGTTATAGGAAGGAGGAGGAAATGAGGCCTTTATAAAGCAAGGAGTGGATTCTGAGGAAGGAATGGCACAGAAAACAAATCTGTATCTGGCATAGTAAATGCTCAGTGAAGAACTGTTAATTGAATGAGTGAGAAAAGAAACTTTGCTTTGGAGCAGTTCTATTCTCTCTGTCTCTGGAGGAATGTGTATGGGGGATCTCTGCTTCCATTCCACCCACTGTTTTTACTGCCAGAAATTTGGAATCAAAGAGAAATGAATACTCAAATGGTTAAGTCAAATAGTTGGCTTTTCTTACCATCCTGCTAAATCTTCACAAATATCATATCCAACCACACCAAATGAGCAATGTCACATATAATTAAACATGTAATTATACATGGATGGGATGGCTGCCTCTCATCCATCTCTCAAAGTATATTTATTCAAACAAATAGCAATTACCTCTACTGAAAACATCAGTTTGAAAATATAAGCTAAATGCATGCATGAGTGAGCATACATACATACCCACATTCGCCCCAGAAATATAATGAGCAAAAAGTATTTTCTATATATGCAGCATCACAAAAGAATTTAAAAGCATTATAAAATGAAAGATGAGACTCTCCTTCAAATTAATCATTAATCCACTTTTGTAAATGCATAAGTGATTTATTTTCTAGAAAATGAAGGGAAAAGGGTCAGAAAACAATCCAGGTTTGTAGGACTTATATTTTATTACTACTACAACTGCTGCTGTTGTTGTTGTAATGAAGCCTAAAGGGAACAATGTGGCCCTGAGTAAAATACAATCACTTCCTTGGAACAGTAACTAATCCTCCCTAGAGAACTGGCAAAAGGGGTGTATGGCAAAATGCATCACTTTTTAATGAAGCAGCTCTATGGAGCTTTTGTAAGCAGTATTTCCACCCAGACAGTCTGGTATTGACCCACCCCTTGTGCCAGGGATATCCTTTTTGCCTTGGAGCTCATTACTACTCCCTAGTTCAAAACGTGCCCTAAGTCCTTTTCCTTTGGAGGGTGGCTTTCTGCCAAAGCTGTTTATTCTTGCTGCTAAAGGATTCTCTTCTGTTGGGAGACTTGTCCCCAAAATAGCACTTCTCATCTTCCTCTCCCAAACCAAAAAAAGGGGGGAAAAAGGCCTCTGTCTCCACTGAAGATAATTTTCTTACAATAAATTTGTTTTTAAGCCAAGTTACTTGAGATCACACCAAGTCCTACACAGTTGTGAAGCATTTGACTCTTAATACAATTTAAATGAAGTATCTTTAAATTTGGGGGGAAATTTTTTGAATTAAATTAATTTCTAGAGATTCTACATTCTCTTAGACAGCCATCAAAAAGTTTCAAAAGACTTATAAAGTCTCTCCTTTGGCATTTTCATCTTCCATGATTACAACCTGTTTTAAAAATCCATCCTTTGGGATGATAGTGGGGTATAGGTCAAATTTCTGAAAATGAGAATTTGTTTTTCTACAAAATCATTTATAAAGAAAAAATATCTTAATAAAGACACTTTTATAGGGCTTCCTTGGTGGCTCAGTGGTTGAGAATCCGCCTGCCAATGCAGGGGACACAGGTTCGATCCCTGGTCCGGGAAGATCCCACATGCCGCGGAGCAACTAAGCCCGTGCGCCACAGCTACTGAGCCTGCACTCTAGAGCCCGCGAGCCACAACTACTGAGCCCGCCCCATGACTACTGAAGCGCAGCCAAAAAAAAAAAAGACACTTTTATAGATGAACAGCAAAAGTGATCCATAGTTCATATAGGTCATAGTGGTTCATATTTTCATATGAAAATAAAGCATTTCTTGAGGTGAACCTAAGGACCGCCAAATAGTACTTTAAAAAATTATCCCCTGTTAACACTGACTTCCCTATTTGTGAGTTCTAATTTTTTTTTTCATGTATCACTGGCTGAAGGATATCCTCAATTGTTTTTATAAAGGTTAAGTCATATATTTTCTGAACCTCTTTTTATTAAAGAATGGTCTTTGAGACTTTCACGTATAAAAAAAATGACAATCTGTATGTAAAATTTCTTGGGGAAAATATTTGTATAAGACAAAAATTCGACCTCTTTAATATATAATGACAGTGTATCCTTAATAAAAATGATACACCCTCACAATAAAATAGGATGAAAACAGACTATTCACTAATGAAGAAATATAAATATCTAATAACTCTTTGGAAAAAAGAGTTTAAACTTATAAAAGAATAAATACAGGACTTCCCTGGTGGTCCAGTGGTAAAGAATCCGCCTTCCAATGCAGGGGATGCGGTTTGATCCCTGGTCGGGGAACTAAGATCCCACATGCTGCAGGGCAACTATGCCCGTGCACCTCAACTAGAGAGCCCAAGTGCTACAAACTACAGAGTCCATGTGCTCTGGAGCCTACATTCCACAACTAGAGAGAGAGAAGCCCGCGCGCTACGATGAAAGATCCCACGTGCCACAACTAAGACCCAACGCAGCCAAAAATAAATTAAATTAAAAATAAATTAATTAATTAAGTAAACATTCTTTTTGGCGGTACGCGGGCCTCTCACTGCTGCGGCCTCTCCCGTTGCGGAGCACAGGCTCCGGACACGCAGGCCGAGCGGCCATGGCTCACGGGCCCAGCCGCTCCGCGGCATGTGGGATCTTCCCGGACCGGGGCACGAACCCGTGTCCCCTGCATCGGCAGGCGGACTCTCAACCACTGCGCCACCAGGGAAGCCCAGAGATCTCAGTTTTTAAGAGCCTCATCACTCTTACATGAACAGGTAAAATCAGGTTTCACGTTTGGCAGGATGATCCCCAAATCCTGGAACTTCTGAGGAAGGTAAAGACACATCTTACTACTTTTACCATTTCTTAACTGCAATAGTAAGAAACAGAGAAAAGGACCAGACTTATGAAGGATTAGGGAGCACCCAAGGATAAGGGCTTGACTGTCCTCCTGGTTATGTTGGTGAGTAACAGAAAACAGAACTATGCCTCAGAGAGCATGTCAAAGCGGCCAAATGGAATTCACCTAGACGCTTCAGTCTCACCAATGGCTTTGTCATCTCCCTCTCTGCTCCCTTCAATACACGCGTCTACTTTTAACTGGTACTAATGTCCTGCCAATCAGTCTGTGCCCCTACAGAGCTGGGACTCATCATCCTCTTTACATATAATACTTCTAACTCTGACGTCCACTGCACGGGTCATGGAGCACCTGCACCATGGGCATGGACCCCTGCCTACTTATTCAGGGGGTGGAGCTTGGGAGTCTCACCTAACCCTGATGAACTTACACACTTTAAGCACACACAGCAATGCCTTCTTTCCCTTCACTGTCCTGAAACGGTTACAGGCGGAGCCATTCTACTGTAGACCAGATTCAAAGTCTGATCATTTTGAACCTTAGCGATGGGAAGTGCTACTTCTCCGCAGCTGATTCTGTAAATTTGGTCAGGCGGCAAAGAAACAGCGCTGGGGACTCTCATGCATTATTACATTTGCTTGTATACATGTGTATTTATTGGGAATGAGAAGAGCAGGCATTCTGACTGAGTCTGTATCAGGCCTATCTTCCATTTGTTAACTTGGCTAGGCTATAACACACCTTGCAGGAGGAATTCAAAAGGTCTGTTGGGATGGGGGTATAGTCAGCTGGGCTAAGGTCACCCATAGAAAGGTTAGGGGCAATTCTTGCAAGCTGAAGGGATCCGTACAAATGATCTCCTTTCACCTATATTACCCAAAGCTCCCTGCTCTTTATGTGGATTTTCCAGCAATGGCAACAAAAACAAAATAACCAAACAGCTCCTGTATGCTGTAAGCCACTTCTTTTCTATTGAATTTCAAGTAGGTAATTTGATTTCATTTCAGTACTTGTC